GCAGAGTAAATATGCCAAGCACTTTCTCAATCATATCACTTCACTACTTAAAATTTTTTATTAATTCCATTTGACTGCACATTGTAAATTAAACAATTTACTATGATATTCAAGGCCATCCTTAATCTGATCCCAACCTATGTTTCCATTATTTTCTCTTACCATTTGCTTCAGCCATACCAAACTCTTTTCCCTAACACCTATAGTACTTTCCTCCCTTTTGGCATTGTTGTATTCTTTTTATTTAAAATGCATTTTTTCTTCCTGTTGTAATTCTTCTGCCAGTTCCTCTAAGCACAATATACTTTTTCTTTTCTTTTTTTTAATTTTCACTCAAATATCTAGGTATTTGTTTTAATAAAGCATACTCTTAGGTTTTTAACCACTTTAACTTTTAACTTTTTTCTCTAAAGATTTTTTAAATATAATTTTTTGAGAAGATAATACTATATTCATGTGTTGCAAAAATAAAAGTCTTGCCCTAACCGGTTTGGCTCCGTGGATAGAGCGTCGGCCTGCAGACTCAAGGGTCCCAGGTTCGATTCCGGCCAAGGGCATGTACCTTGGTTGCGGGCACATCCTCAGTAGGGGGTGTGCAGGAGGCAGCTGATTGATGTTTCTCTCTCATCGATGTTTCTAACTCTCTATCCTTCTCCCTCCTCTCTGTAAAAAAATCAATAAAATATATTTAAAAAGAAAAATAAAAGTCTTAACAATTCATCAAAATTTGTACTTGTTCTGGCTGAGTAGCTCAGTTGGTTAGAGTGTTGTCCGATATACAAGGTTGCAGGTTCGATCCCCACTCAGGGCATGTACAAGAATCAATCAATGAATGCATAAATAAGCAGGACAAAGAAAATGGATTTTTCTTACTTTTTCTCCCCCTTTCTCTCTCTCTGTAAAATCAATAAATTAAAAAAAAAATTAACACTGTGCTCTTTGAAGGACACTGTTAAGCAAATGAAAAAATCAAGTCACAAAAGGGGAAAAATATTTGCAAACACACATCTGATGAATTATATCCAGAATCTATAAACAATTCTCACAACTCAATAATTTTTTAAAAAAGGAAATGAGCAAAAGTTTTGAATAGATATTTGATCAAAGAAGAGATACTACAGATGGTAAATAAGTATATTAGCAAATGCTGAGCATCTTTAGTTATCAGGGAAGTGCAAAATAAAAACCACAGTGAGATACTATTATACAGTAGTTAGAATGCCCAGAGTAGTGAAGGACAGAAGTCACAGGTTGCCAGAGATGGAGTGGAGGGAAGGGATTGACTACAAAGGGTCTTAAGGGACACTTGGGGTGATAGAAATATTCTATATCTTGATTGCAGTGGTAGCTACATGACTATATATCTTTGTCAAAACTCATAGAACTGCGTATACCTAAAGTATGAATTTTACTATATGTAAATTATGCTTCAATAAAGTCTGACTTTAAAAAAATTTAAAAGATAAGAAGTGAAACAAATCTCCATTTCACTCCTCTCCCACTCGTTTCCTGTCTGCCCTTGTCCCTCCCTCCATCTTTAGGTAACTGTATTGTTATTAGTTCCTCAATGTATTCTTCCAGAATTTCTTTATGCGTATACAATAAATATGGATGCATATTCTTTTTCCCTTTTTGATTCAAGGTAGCATGATGTACATTCTGCACTTTTCCCCTCCTACCATTGTATCTAGATCTTTCCATATAGGATATGGAGCTTCTTCCTATTTTTTTTGCAGCTACAGAGTATATTCTATTATATGGATGTACTGTAATTTATTTAATCAGTCCCCTGTTGATGAACATTTTGGTTACTTCTGCTCTTTTGCTATCACAAACACTAATGTAATTGATAAATAGTACATTCACTATTTTTGCATCTATGCAAAGTATTATGTGTAAGGTAAATTTCTGGAAATGAAATTGCCAAGTCAGAAAGAATGTATGCATTTGTTATTTTGAAAGCTATCAGTCAAAATGCCATCAATTAAGGAAGTTTCAAGAGATAACTTATGTCAAGTTCCAGTTAAAAGTTGCCTTATTCTTAAAACTTTTCCTTCTTCCATAGGACTTTTCCTTCTTCCTTTCCACCAAATAGAACTAATCCTACCACTCCTAGGCTTTCGTAGCTCATTGTACTTTTCTAATGATGTCCATTATAATCTGCTTTGAATTAGAATTCTTTATATATATATAGCTATTTTCCCCAAATGGGTGTATTGTTTCTTCTGCATTGTATAAGGTGGCTAAAGTTTGTTGACATGGTAGTATTTCTTTGATGTGTCAGTCATATCAAGATCTCTCTAAAACAGCTGATCCCTCTTTACCTATATTTCAGCCTTTTCAATGGCAATGACAGAAGTAAGGTCAGAGCCAGGCCAGGGCTACTTTTAACTGGAAAGTCTCCTGGGCTTATGTTGGCTAGAGTCCATGGGGGACTGGGGGGAGAGTCTAGTGCTCAATAGACTTGACTGCAGAGGTGATAATAGGTCTGGGTGTATTCATCCTAACAGTTATCAGAATGAAAATAAGTAGGCAAAATTACGTGCTACAAAAACATTTGTGTGTTAGTGAAGATCCCCGGGAGCTTGAGGGAGGCAGCCAATCGATGTGTCTCTCTCATATCGATGTTTCTCTCTGTCTCTACCCCTCCCTCCCACTCTCTCTAAAAATCAATGGAAAAATATCTTTGGTTGAGAATTAACAATTACAACAACAAAAACAGAAAGGAGTAATTAAAGGGGAAGAGAAGTTCATGGAAGAAGAAATAGACTATTAATTTGAATAGATTGAACATAGATTATAAAAATGAGCAAACAGAGGAAGAATATATAGGATATTTATCTTATAGCATATGACCAAAAGATTCTGGTAACTAAAGATTTTTAAAATATCATTTATTATACATTTTTTCTGACTACAAAAGTAATGCATTTTGCCCAGCCAGTGTGACTCAGTGGTTGAGAATTGACCCATGAACCCAGAGATCATAGTTCAATTCCCAGTCAGGGCACACTCCCCAGTAGGAAGTGTGCAGGGAGCAGCCAATCAGTGATTCTCTCTCATCATTGATGTTTCTATTTCTCTCTCCCTCTCCCTTCCTCTCTCTAAACCAATAAAAACATTATTTTTTAAAAAAGTAATGCATGTGAATTGAGGATAATTTAAAATTACTGATAGCAAATAAAAATTCTACTAATGAAAATTATTGGCTATGATTATTTTAAAGTTTGTCAGTTTTCATGTTGAGCTATGGTACATTCCATAAATCTTTAGGTTATTGACTCCATCCTTGTGAAGCAACAAAATTGAACAGTTTATAATTTTAAGTCAAAAGACCTTAGTTGATGCCTGGTTTTATCACCGACTAATTCCGTATCTCTCAGAATCTGTTTCTATGTCTGTAAAATGAGCAATACAGAGACCCTGCCATCACAGAATTTATATTCCAATGGAAGAAGCTAGGCAATAAAAAAGTGAAAATATAAATAAAATCAATTCTAGGTAGTGAAATGTATTATGAGAAAAAAATAAAGCAGAGTAGAAGAATAAAATGGGCCCTGGTGGGTGTGGCTCAGTTGGTTGAGTGTCCTCCTGTGTAATCTTAGATTACTCAGAGGTTGCTGGTTCGATTCCAGGTTAAGGGCACGTGCTTGTGTTGAGAGCTCATTCCCTGGTAGGGGACGTGCTGGAGGCAGCCAATCAGTATTAAGCTCTCACATAGATGGTTTTTTTTCTCTCTCTCTCTCTTTCTCTCTCCCCCCCCCTCCCTTTCCCTTATCTAAAAATCAATAAACTATTTTTTTTAAAGAATAAAGTGGCGTTTCAGGGGTGGGTAGTATTTTTTACTAGGATAATTAAGGAATGTTTCTCTGAAGAACTGGCATTTGAGTAGAGGGCCTAATATGGAGAAGAGCTAGCCATTGGAGGCATTCAAAGAGAGAGCATTCCAACTGAAGAGACCAGCAAGTGCAAATATCAAGTGGAATGAGGCCAGTGCCAAGACAGAGAATGTTTTGTAGGCCAAGTAATAAAAGTTTGAACTTTATCCTACGTTGAGCTCTCTGAGAACTGGGATCATGTATTATTCATGTTTGGATTTATTCCCAGTACCTGGCACATAGTAAGTACTCATTAACTTAAATTTATGAATATTTGAATTGCATATATAGGTAGAGATACAAATTGCCACCATCTTTGAATGGAGTTTGAATGAAATAACCAAGTCACAAAGAGATTGGCATCTTAGATTCCTCAGAGATTCCTCATGGTCTTACTATACTTTTTTTTATCAGAGCCTGAATATTAGTGCATGTACTATGATGCTGGGCAGGATTCTGAGCATATGAAAGCATTCAATGTTTTCTTTTATATATATATATATTATTGATTTTTTACAGGGAGGAAGGGAGAGGGATAAGAGAGTTAGAAACATCGATGAGAGAGAAACATCAATCAGCTGCCTCCTGCACACTCCCTACTGGGGATGTGCCCGCAACCAAGGTACATGCCCTTGACAGGAATCGAACCGGGGACCCTTCAGTCTGCAGGCCGATGCTGTATCCACTGAGCCAAACCGGTCAGGGCTTATGTTTTCTAATATACATAGTTTATTTATTATAAATGCCACTTTATTTTACTTTATTTTTAAAAACATGTTTATTGATTTCAGAGAGGAAAGGAGAGAGAGAGAGAGAGAGAGAGAGAAAGAGAACATCAATGATGAGAGAGCATCATTGATTGGCTGCCTCCTATATACCCCCTACTGGGGATTGAGCCCACAACCCAGGCATATGCCCTGACCTAAATCAAACTGTGACCTCTTGATTCATAGGTTGACACTCAACCACCGAGCCACACCAGCCAGGCAAAAATTAGAAATTTAAATAGTGTTTTATTGTGACAGTAATGCACATGTTTCTCACATCCACTTTATGGCTCAAGTGTACTGAGTCTTTTGCTATTTGAAGCTTATTTATTATTCTTTTTTGGTTTTATTGTAGCCTCGAGCTGTGGCAGGCTTTCGAGGGACAGTTCGTTATGCATCGATCAATGCTCATCGGAACAGAGTAGGTATCTGAACTAGAGTCATGTCTGTATAACCATGGTGATGGCTTGAGTTAGATTGATTTCTTTTTTTAGAGTACAAAGTGTGGAAATTGCTTTGGAGAAGGCATTAGTAATGCATGGTAAGGTGTATTGTGGATAACAGATGTGTGCATCTGCATAGAAAATAAAATTGGATTTGCCAGGAAAGATAATAGTGAAGTATATATGTATGGGGAATCTTGTGTCCTTAATAGGTATAAATAAATATTAATGAATTTAATACAAAATTTTGAAGAAATAAAACATTTGTGTTCTATTTCTAGAAATTACTTGGGAATATCATACTGTCACAATACCTAGTGAAATGTAGGGGTCATCATCCTATATTATAAAAACCTAATATGTTAAGTGTTCGGTCGTCTGTTCAATCAATCAAAGCCTAATATGCTAATGATATGCTAAGGCTGCCCAACTGCTCTTTATGACATGCACTGACCACCAGGGGGCAAACAGTTGACCAGTCAACCAGTCGCAATGACATGCACTGACCACCAGGGGGTAGATGCTCCTACTGGTAGGTTAGCTTGCTGCTGGGGTCTGGCCGATTGGGACTGAGTGAGACGGGTCGGACATGCCCTGGAGCCCTCCTATGGTCCCTCCCCAGCTGGCCAACCTCCCGTGTTCCTCCCTGTCCCTGATCGTGCACCTGTGGGGTTCCTCGGCATGGCCTGCACCCTCTTGCAATCCGGGACCCCTCGGGGGATGTTGGAGAGCTGGTTTCATCCCGATCCCACAGACCAGGCCAAAGGACCCCACTGGTGCACAAATTCATGCATCAGGCCTCTGGTTTTATCTGTAATATGCATTAATCTATGGTAGCCCTTCTCCTGTAATGTTTTGTTTTCATGAAGATCTCAAATGCAGACTTTAAAATTTTTATCTTAGTAAATATATCTTTCCTCTTGG